ACCCCTCATTGCCCAAGCCGAACACTCACTGAGGTAGGTACCCCTGTGCCCAGGTGGCACCTGGCATATCTGGTGGTTGGTGCCCAGTAAATATCTATCCAAACAGTCTTCCTGCCCTTAAACTCAGTTCTAAGAACTTTATTCAATTTTCCCAAAGCAGAATAATTCTGACCAATTCAAGCTGGAGGGTGAGGACCCCTACATTCTGGGAACCTCAGTAAGTGTCTGAACATTCACATCGCACTGGCTGTGGTTCGGGGCAACCCATCTCATTTCTGTGTGCCTCCATTTCCTCATCTGTTAAACGAGGGACTCGGACAAGGAGACCTAAGGGAAACGTTTGTTTCCTAAATCCGATGGTTCTGTTCCCACCTGAATGGCGAGGGAGATTTCTTAACAGGCAATCATAGAGATATTAAAAAAAAAAAAGAAAGAAAGAAAGAAAGAAAGTCAAGTAACTACTATTCTCCATGGTCCCAGAGATGCTTTTAATCTGAACCTGAAACACACTACTTGTCAATATTGTGAAAATGAGAAGGTAGTCATGAAATATGTCTGTGGAAGACTAGCAACATTTTCGTATCTCAGCTTGTAAGAGGATCCTTGAGTCCCAATTTTTGGTTCCACAACATCCCACAGGGATGCCCATTTTTACCTCAAGAGATGGTGAGAAAACCTCCAAAGAAAATTTTAATTCTGACTCTTCACGTCTGTGACAAGTCTTTAGGAGCTGTCCCAGAGTCAAACAAATCCAAGTCTAGAGAAGTTAGGCAGTGTCTGGTGCCAACTTAAGCAGACACAGCATCCTAGCTTAAGGAACAGTTAAAGCAGCCAGCACCATGACAGGCAGCAGGCTGAGAAATGCTACACTATCCTCCTCCTCATTATTTTGAGAGGCTAACAACGTGAACCAAATTATACAACATCCTGCGCCCTCGGCTGAGACTCAGCTCCAGTTGAGAAAGAAACAGAAAGATACAGTTCAGCTAGTCAACTCTTTGGCCAGTAGCCAAGCCGTCTGGAGAGGGGCCCTGCTTAAGTCACATTGTTTCTCTCTCGCTGAAAAGAACCCGAGAGTGGTAAATGCCACTTTGGCAAAGAGGGGCCAGCTTGACTTCACAAAATCATTCATCATTTTTGGAGATAGCTAAATTAAAAAACAAAAAAACATATATATCTCTCCAGGGAGTAACTAACCAACAGTTTACTAGTCAACTGCAGCATTAAAACAGGGCACAAGTGATGGTGGCCAAAGGACAGGGATGAGAAAAGCAGATAACTTCCCAAGGATTCCAAAAAAGACAGGGCTTAAAATATAGCTGAGATATAACCAACTTTTCTCCCTCTTTTAAAAGAGGCACTAGGAGAGCTCCTTAAGCCCACAGCTAGTGTTTGTCAGGAACTTTTTCTTAAAGGGACAAAATTCACCATGGAGCTAAAGAGTGAGAATGAAGAATTCATCAATTATATGATTCATCCATTTAGCAAGTTGGAAAGAAAAGCTGGCAAGGTCTTCTTAGGAGCCCCCAACACTCATATTCCAAAACAAGCCAGCCCTGCTCAAGTACTTGTCTAAATAATGGACTCCTGCCCTGACCTTGTAATTTACTTTACAATGCATTTATAATCTCACTCAATATATCCCACTCCTGGGTAAATCTCTTTAACAAGATTAGATGGTAAGATACCAAAATTAGGCTCCAAACATTTGTCGAATGTGGAGGGGGAAGAAAAAGGCAGCGAGATTTTGAAAGGAAATGCTGACATTAGTATCACATTATCTGCCTATTTTTGTTTGCCTCCTCTCTTCGAAAGGAAATAAAAAGCTTCGCTGAGAGTATTTTCATAAAATTTTTGTTGTCACTGAACAAGGACTTGGGTCCTAAATAGGCAAGAAAAAAAAAAAAAAAACAACTATCTGGTTCCAGCTACCACAACCCTCTGTGGCTTCCTCCTTTGCCTTCCTAGGACTCAGGGTTATTACCATACATTTAGCCTGACAATCTGAATTGGGTAAGTAAAAAGGAGATTTGTCAGCTGAAGCAAGTCCTTAACACTTCCATCACTCCCAATGCCTGCGAAGTCTTATTTTACCTTCTCCTACTCTATGCAAACCGAGACTGGACCCCTAGTTAACGGTGCTGGTTTCACATGGGCCATGAATGCAACCGCAGACAAACGCTGAAATCTGGGCGTCCCGCACTACCTCAAGGGTCTCGTTTGAATCCTTTCAAAAAGGCTTAAACAAGTACAGTCCATTTTATTTTGCTCCCTGAGCTTCCTAAATTTTTTTTCCCCTGAGCCAGTTACGTGATCACGCTACAGGATATTAACACTGTGATGCTCCCCTCTCCCTCCCTCATATATCAGGTCAGAGAAGATGGCATTTTATCTTATAATGAGCATACAACATGCAGTGTTCACGATCGCATTTTAGTATCCCCATCAACTAGATATTCTAGATCGCGAGGGCAGCTAGTGTAATCATAATGTCAATGAGAAGGCTGTTACGATTGAGACTAAAGATTACATAGAAAGAGCGGCTTTGAAACTGGTAATTATTACCAGTCCACTAATAGCAAATGATGCATTACGATTTCACCATATAATCTGTATCTCACTCAGCTCCTGCCGGTGCACCATATTACATTACAGTGCTCACAGATTCTAACTTCCTAAACTGCAGTCATCAATAAACGTGTTACTTGCCATAATTTGCGAAATTACTTTGTTCATAACATCTTTGATGGTTTAGAAAGACCAGAATTGATTTCCTGCGTGGCAAAATTAGGGCTACATTGATTTATTGACGTGTAAAATATAATAATATTCTTCATTTACTCTGATGAAAATCAACTTCTCAATTTGAGAGCCTCATTGGGCATTCACAAGGATTGTTTTGATTTAGAGCAATAAACTGAGACCCGGCCTCCAAGCGTAAGGACCTGAGGCCTCAGAAGGGTTAAAGTCAGCTATTAGCTTTTATTTTATGGGGAGGTCTGACCCCCATTTCTAGAGTGTCACCAATGCTAAAAAGCCATATGATTCTAAACCATGAGCTTTAGAAGAACAGGGAGGACTGAGGCTGGACCTCTGGCTCTGTTATTTATTGGCTTGTGACTCTGGGGTGGTCATTTAATTTCTCTGAGCCTTAGGATTCCTATCTGCAAAATAAAAACAATACCTTTAGTGAACTGTCGTGAGATACAAATGACAGAAGTATATAAAAGCTCTCTGTAAACCATCAGGTCCAATGTGAATATGAGTGTTCATTACCACCAGGCGTGATTAATTTCTAGGGGTAATGACTAACCACATTACACACCCGGAATGGCTTCCAGGGGCAGGTCCAGATGCAGACCTTATCCCAGGCTGAAAGAAGGCTCTGGTTAGGGAGAAAGAATGGACGATTTTAAGTCACATGACTGGTCCACTGGTAAGGGCTAAGTGCTCTGAAAGCTAAGGGCAGCTGGTTAATGTGACTGAGTGGGGTGGGACTCAGCTTTGTTCTAGAGCTTTCTGGAACCCCACAACCCATTTCTACATACCTTGTTCTGGTCACTGCTAAACTGGTCCTGCTGGCATGGGCACCAGCAAGCTACGTACCTCCCTTTGTGGGAAGGGGCAAGAGGACAGGGGTTCCTTATCAGGCTCTGACTTTCCCATCCTTCAAATCAAACCCTGTGCCCTCAAGAACACCCAGCTAGAAGGAGACAGACCTGAACTATTTCCCAGGCCAGCAGCCCTTCGCCTCTCAACTCCACCCTCTTCTCAACTGCCCCACTCCCTGCTTTCTTTTCCCTCCAAGGGTGGCTCTGTTCCCACAGCCAAATGCAGGCTTCAGGCACCCCCAGCAAAAAAGGAGAGCTCTCTCCACCCAGCCAGCATGTAGGGACTCGAAACTCTGAGTCCAACCCCCTAAACTCTCTGCAATCTGTGACCTAACCCAGGCTTAGGCCCAGCTTGGTACGGGGAGGGAGTGAGGGCAGACAAGGTGCTTTTAACCCCTGCACCACCCAGCCCTCAGGACCCGAGGGCTTGTGAAATTCACACAGTAACTCTTTGTTACATAGGATTACCTAGGAGTTAATGAAAATAAACAACTGGCTTTGAATTTGGTCCCAGGGTGCATGCCCTGCCCTGTAGACACCATACACAGATGGGTAGGTCTAGTCTCCCTTCCATCTAAAAACCAATCCCCTCTATGCAGCCTTAATGTTAGCATCTTGCTCTTCGGTATTCTCTTTCCATGACCCTTTCCTTTCTTGTTTTCTTTCCACAGCAGGTTATTTTTCATTTACTTTCAAAATAAAAATGAGATGTCACACTACTATTTTTCTTGAACCTGACTTTTTATGTTTGGGGTAGAATCAACCCCCCACCCCCAACCAACATTTTAACCATGCATGATTCATACCATGTGTTCCCCTAAAGAGGAACAAACTGGATTACTTTCTAAAACAACATCTTTTTTTTAAAAAAAAATTATAAATACACACATCTAAATTCCATTAAAATGTCCCCACCATAAAAGTTAACTTGAACAAGTAAATGGATGATGGTGGTAGTGGTGCTGGTGGAAGGAGACCCTTTCCATTCTCACTACAATGCTGTGTTTTTCTCTCAAACTAGGAGAATCATAAGTAGCAATTATGTGTGCATGTTTGTGTGTAGCTACATAGATGTACCTATATAATGTACCATGTAGTTATAAAAAATACCATGTTCAAATACACATGTAACTGCATAAAAAACACATATTGGAATAACTCTGGAGTAACTGGAAACTGACTCCTTTTTGTTTTGGCCTCTGCCAAAGATGTATGCCATGGAATAAATTCGAAGTCCTAAATGAGGCCACGGGAGTGAATGTCCAGCAATAAAATGGGCCCTGAATGCACAGACATATTCAGTCCCCAGCCATGGAGCCAGACGAGGCCCTGGGGAAAAGACCCACAGGGACACGCTGCTGTCAGTTCCATGCCTTCAGTGAGGAGAAAGGAGGGATCCCTCTCGGGGCTGAGTGGAGCAGGGGAGCGGGTGCCAAGTGAGTAATGGAATAATACATATGCCAATCTATTTTGGAAGTAACTCCCTTCAGTACTTAAAAAGTAAGGGTAATTTCCAGAAATGTTCATCTCTGTACACATGGACATTTGTAGAAGAAATAATGCTCAACTTACAAATACCCTGCGGGGCATACTCTGCACTCATCCCGGGCGTGGGGATTAGAGCTCCGTGTGCAGAACGAGGGGAGGAGAGGCCCCTCCAGTGCAGAAGTTTATCTGTGAAAGAAACCCAAAATCAAGCACCAAAGCTATAAACAATGTGCATCGTAAACCACAGGATATCACATTTCAATTCCATTAAAATAGATTAACATCATTACAACAGCCTTGCAGATAGTTAACAGGCCCAAGGCCTGAAACAAAAGAACACTGGTGAGTTATTTCCCACAGTTTTTGCTTTGTTTTTAATTTTGGTCTTTTTTGACAAAAGGGAAAGTGTTTGTTTTAGGTATGGAGGTAATCGGGCTTTTTAAGTGTGTTTGCTTATTGACTATAATTTGATTATTGTGGTATGGTAAGAGAAGTGTAAACAGCAAGGGGAAAATTGGTAATATTGTGGGTCGGCTGAAAAAATGGGGGGATGTATCTGCAAGGCTGGTTTACATGCATACATTAATATTACAGACAAATTCAAGCAAAATAACCAATATGCTAATGGGAAATAACTGGATTCGTAAACCACTTTTTGTAGGACAGAATCTCACTCTGCCTTTCCCATCCCACCACCCCCTCTTCCCAGGTTGTATCTATGGCAGGACCTTCAGTGCTAAGGAAATCTTAAGCATTTCTGGGCTTGGTTAGACCACACTCTAGAATTCTACCAATGGAGTACTCTGAAGAGGCATAGCTTCTCACACTATAAAGCAGTGGAGAGTGAAGATTAGTTAACCTTCTGCAATTACAACTCTGGCCAAGTCTCCACCTTCAGGGTGAGGAGTCATACCATTCAGTGACAAGAAACCAGTATTTCAACCAATAATAACAGCACCCAGAAACCAAAGCCCACCCCCACCGTTCTACTGTACTTGTTGCACTGTGGTGAGGAAAAGTGTCTGCTCATGCTAATACACATGAATCTGACAAGTCAAACACTTCCAGCACTGAGATTTTCTGAGAAAGGAGACATTTGATTTATGCAGTCTGGGGGAGTTTACGGTCAGTGTGGTAGGTTCCTAGCTTTTCCAAGTCCACCATCAGCTAAGTAACCATGTAGAGGTGAACCCCGAGACAAGCAGAGGATAAATGGAGTAGGAGATGCTCCATGTGTTCTCGAGGTTTGGAGCCTGCGATGACTGGGGGAGGCAGGACAGAAGAATAACAGACTTTGCTGGTGAGTAAACAGAGCATGTTTTCCATTAGCTTGATATTAAGAGCACTTAAGTGTTGTTATTATATTCGAGGATAGCAGGTCTTGAGTGTAAAATACAGGCAGTGCTCCTTAGACAGACCATGTTGCCAAGTGCGGCGGGCAGTTAGGACAAGGTTTCCTGTCTTTTGGAGCCTCGTGCATAAGGTTGTTGTGTTGCTACAGAAAGCTGTGACACTGAGGGCATCTGTTTGGGATACCAGGCCTGCAACAGGAGGCTCGACCTAGCCTGAGTCCATCCACAGAAGCATTTCTTTCTCTCTGACCCAAAACAAAGCCCAGCAAACAAATAAACAAAAAAGTGGGGCAATCAGACTCAAAACACATGTCTATTTTTGACCACGGTAAATAAATGGAGAGTATGGGGTAAAAGTCACTACAGATCTAGGCAGAAGTATTTCTCAGGGAGAAATCTGACAATCATTTTTGCGCTTGTTCTTGCCTCAGTTGTTTGCTGAATGTGTTTGTTTTCAAAACGGAAATCCTTTTCTTAGGAGACCTATGCAACCAAGGAATCTGTGATCTCCGCAGAAAAGCAATACGGCACTTGGAACCTTGCATGGGGATGGTCTAATTTCAAATTCCTGCCACTTAACTCTGGGATGAGACCCTGAAATGCTTCAATAGACCTCTAGCAAGACATGGGAGAACTGTTCATCTAATCCAGGTTTAGCCACTCAAATGGCTCTTGGGTTTATTTTGTCTCCAAACCCATTGGACCTAAACAAGCTGATCTCAGAAGCCTGGACCCATTCTCGGTAGTGCCAGGCTATGCTGCAAACCGAGGTTTCATCAAAGCCAGAATTTGAGTATCTAGCCCTTGGTGATTATCACTTTAGATAGGGAAATTGGGACCTTAAGAAATTAAATGGCTTGCCCATGGCTATATTGTGATTAATCACAGTGAAGTCTAGAATGGATCTCCTGACTCCTGGTCCAGTGGTCTTTCCTAAGACACCTGTCTACTCCCCTCTGCTGCTCCTGCCTTGTCTTCACTGCCCAGGAAGGGACCGTAAAGAAGGGTCTCTTTCTACAGACCCGTTATGGAATGGTGTGGCCCATCCAGAATTGAGTAGGAGCCTTCAAAAAGTCCAAATGAACAGACCTGGCTTCACCATTAAAAAACAATGATCACTCTGCTCCCTGAGCCTCCTGGCCTCACTCACATTGTTTTCGATCCTCTACCTTGGCTTCCCCTGCAAAATCAGTCAGCTGAAGAGAAGCAAACCCTTTCTATCAACCTAACAAGCTATTTACTTTAGGAAAAAAAATCACTGTCTTCGTGAGAGACTCAGACTTGCATTTATCTTCTTCCTCCAGGAAGAGGGTCAAAGCAAAGCCAACTGGGAACCCCAGCTGACTCTGCTGCTGCTTCCACTAGACACGTCCAGAATATTCTCCTCAGTAAGTAGAATCGACATTCCCACATGAACTGGAAATGCTAAATTGTTAATAGCCTCCCTAGGGTTTAACTTCTTGCTATGATGCCTTCAATTATTTCATCACGGCTTAGGCAAAGTAAAGAATCACAATTAATGCTTCTAAGTATCAAACCCTACAAACAGCTCTGCCTTCCCAGACTGAGAGACAAAAAGGAGCTGCCCCTGGTTGAGGGCTCTTCTTTTCCCACCTTCCTTTTCATTCCCAGGGAGAAATGAGCTTAGGCTGCTGGTTGGGAATGGTTATGTTCTTTGCTGGTATCTTAGGGAAGTGGTTCTCAAAGTGAGATCCAGATCCAGGATCAGCACCACATGGAGCTTGCTGCAAATTCTTAGGCCTCACCTCACATTTCATTAACTAAGAAATTTGGTGGTGGTGCTGAGGGGTAAGGAAACACAGCTGTACTTAACGAGTCCTTCATGTGATTCTGATGTTCAGTCAATTCAATAAGCACTTTCTTAAGGTAAGGGAGGGCACAGAAGATGGAGGCTGTGATGTTCCCAGTCAGTGACCCACGACCCATGAAGCTGTCCTTCTGTCCAGGATCTACTTCCTTTAGGGCAAGAATAATCAGAGTTTAAACTTGGGGAATCTCTAGTGTTCCTCTGTGTGGAATGTGAAGTTTCCCCATCTATCCATCATTGACCAGGATGGGGAATGGGCCCAGAAGAAGCCCTCTTAGCATAAGATAATACCCAAACCAGCTATGGTCACATAGATGGTCTACACAGCTTCCATAAAAGCTGAACTAGAGCTGGCCTGGTGGTGCCGCAGTATATGCCACTCAAACGAAGCTGGATCCACGTGGACGATCATAGATTCATTTCCCCAGTCACAAAGTGCACACACACATGAGCCTGGCTGGGAAGGCTGGGAGCAGGTGATATCGTGACATAAGGTCCTGTTAAGGGTGCTTGTCTTTCTTGGTCTCTCATTCCATGGAAGAATAGATACACTGAAAAAGGCAAAATGTTTGAGAATGCAACTGTCCATGCTACATGAACAAAGCAAGAACCAGACTCCGGTCCAATTCTAGACCCCCAGTTGTGATATGTTGCCCCCTTCTGAACCAATTCTTTTCAAACATCTTGAGTTCCTCTGGTGGAAGATGTCCTGATGTCTTAACATGTTCTATTTTATCAAGGTCTCCCTTGACCCAGAGTCTATCTCTGCTTGAGGCCTCAAAATGCCTTATGCATTATAAGGTTGCAAAGTGAATAAAACGTAATGATTTTTTTTTTTTGAGGTTTTTGTTATAGGGCATGTACACTCGCCAGAGAGATAGAAAACGAGACATCACCCCTCGTTTTCTATGGCCACAGAGGTGGCCATGTTGCAATTCCTTCCCCTCCATTCTCCTCTCTGGGTTTTGGGCATGCACACACATGCATCTGGTGTGAGTTTCAAGCTACCAGGTTCAGTACTCAAACATTTTGATACCATGTAAGAGTCTAGCACCTAACCACCCAGTACCTTAACCGCTACATCACCTACTGGCCCCCCAAAAAATAATGAATCTTATTTTTTAGGTCTCACTAAAAAGCTGCAACAAATTGGGGGCAGTTTTGATTAATGTTATACATCGGTCACTTTAATTTTCTATGTATACTGGGTACCAACTTTTGACACAAGCTCTATAAGTCCTATTAGTGGCTTGCCCCTAAAATTTAAAGTCATTAAATTGAGTTTTTGGTTGTCTCAAAAACATATGAAAGATTCCTTGACTATTTTTTTTTCCTTTCAAAGAGTTGATTTATTTATTTAATTCCACTTGTCATTATTATTTTGACCAGACAGAGACAGAGAAAGGGAAACTTGAGCAAGTCTCCAGGTCGAGGACTCGAACCGCAGTTAGCCATGTGGGAATCCAGCACCTCAAACTACCATGCCACTTGCCAGCCCTCCTTGACTATTATTAACATGCTATTTGTTTCTGAAACTAATCACTGGGCCAGTAACAGAGCCACATTACTGTCTACTAATCAACAAGTAATATTGCTGATCTCTGGAAGTTCCCTCAAGATACTCAGTCACAAAGTACTGCTGGAGCCAGCTGGTGGTGTGGTAGTTGGGGCGTTGGACTCCCACATGGCCTACCACAGTTCGAGCCCCAGATCTGAGGGCTTGCTTTCTCGTTTTCTCTCTCCCTGATGAGTGCACATGCCCTATAGCAAAATTTTAAAAATAATAATAAAATAATTCTTAAAAAAAAAGTTTTTAAAAAAAGTTAAAAAGTAGGACCAGCAGTTGGTGTAATGGCTATGTTACTGGACTTCCATGTAGTCAACCATGGTTTGAGTCCTGGACTGGTGACTTAAACTCACACCAGGCATATGTGCGTGTGTGCCCAAGATCCCGAGAGGAGAATGGAGAAGAAGGGATTGTGGCGTGGTCATCCCCTCTGGTGGGT